CACAGATATCCTCTATGTTAGAGTGGCTTAAATTTTTTTAATGGTATTATATTGTATTTCTTATATGTTTTCTTTAGAGATTAGAAAAGTTAGTTTTATGAACTATAAATCCCAGAATTCCCCAATGAGCATGCTGGGCTATGTTTGGATAGTACCACGTAGGGGAAGTGGCAAACTAGCAGCCTTGCGGGAAATCAGAGTTGTGCATGGTACTAGGCTGTAGAAAAGTAGAAGGCTGCACTTTGCTTTGCGTTACCATAGCAAAGTCCACCTTCTCCAGGAATAGGTGCAGCTGATGACTGGTGTATCAGACGTAGCTCTTCAAAATGTAGCCATCTCCATCTCTTGCCACCCAACATCATTGCTGGACCCGGCACCATTTGAATCTGCAAATCCCATTCTTAAGCAGAGATGCAACTCCATTCACAACAGGCCAAACATCTTATCCTGCATCAACAGAGCCCTCCAGTAGTAGTTAAGGTTTGAATAGACCTTAATTTTTCAACTCACATATCTTCTGTGCGCTTGTTAAGTCTATTTGCTGTCCTCAGAGTGAGACTGAAAAACAGCAATCTTTAGGTGTCTGGTGAAAAGCAATTATTTAAATGCCAAGAAAAATTGTTTTCATGTTATGCTTGCTTTTCAAAAAAGATTTTATTCAGTCTTTTCAGTTTTATTCCATTTCTTCAGCTGCTTTGAATTCTGACATTTTTGTTTTACCTTGTTTTCCTCTGGCCTCTTTTACTATTGTTGTTACATTGCAAAGAAAACTTTGGTTATTGGGTGGCTTAAAAACGTAACGTAACACGCAAGCAACCAGAGATGTGAATCATGTAGAGCTGGAGTAATTTGATTCTACCTCCCCAATTCACTTCCTTCTCATATCCTGTTTCACTAACATGGGTCAGGAAATAATATAATGGTACAAGCAGTTTCCCTCATCAAACCTGCAAGATAGCTTCATGTGTTTGACAAACCTCAGACACTTGAGAGCTCAGATACAGACATGCTGTTTAGCACTACAGGCAAATGGACAATATGTATGAAAATATCAGATCTAAGGGGTAAGAAATGTGGCTGATCTCAGACCTTGGAAATGTTACTTTTTCATATATATTTTTAAACTACAGCCCCAGAATCTTCCAATCAAGATTGCTAGCAGCCAGAGATTCTTGGAACTGAAGTCTAAAACAATAATTTTTCAAACCTCTGATTGATATAAAGAAAAAATGCAGGAAAACATGTAACACTACCCTGTTTCCCCGAAAATAAGACAGGGTCTTATATTAATTTTTGCTCCAAAAATGCATTAGGGCTTATTTTCAGGGGATTTTTTTTTCATGTACAACAATCTACATTTATTCAAATACAGTCATGTCATCTTCTGGTTGCTGCACAATGGTGGAGGGCGGGGTTTCACTTAACTAGGGCTTATTTTTTGGGCAGGGCTTATATTACAAGCATCCTGAAAATTCCTACTAGGGCTTATTTTCAGGTTAGATCTTATTTTCGGGGAAACAGGGTATTAGTTTTTTATTTCAAACAATTCCTCTGTTGCAGAGTTTTACATTTCTGGTAAAATTCCTTTTTGCTACGCAGTAGAAGTACAGAGACCTACAGAGGAGAATAGCTTCAAGTTCCCTAGAATCCACCTCTTTCTCATTAACTGGCACTTAAAATATCAACAGCTCACTCTGAGACATTTGTTGGAAAAAGAATAAAAAATATTTCTTGATTTAAAACATTGCTTGTTTGAAATATTTTACACTAAAATTGTTTGTGTATGCTGTTTTCTTCACCACACACATACTTAGTAACCAACCAAAGAGGTCAACAGCAGACAAACAATACTGCTTCCAACCAAGGAAAGAGATGGAAAAGAACACTCAGCAGAAAGGTGGGCTCTCTTTGAATTCATAGTCTGGAAGGAATAATTGGTTAGTGTTGGTTAGATAGACAATCAATCCCAGTTGAGAAAAGCTCCTCCAAGTCACAAAAACTACAGATAGTATCCTCTTCCTCTGCCTTAAGATGTCTAATTGCAGTTTTATTACACCCCCTAATAGCATGTGAGGTAGCAAACAAAACTTCAACATCCTCTTCCTCTGCCTTAAGACGTCTAATTGCAGTTTTATTACACCCCCTATTCTAGCATTTGACAAGACAAATCAAATTAGGTGGGTGAAGAGGAGCAGGACTTCACATTCTACAAGGTTTCTTATCACAAAAGACCCAAATTAGTGGATAGCAAATCAAAGATAGACTAGCAAAGACCCCAGACTCATGATTTAAAATACATGAAATACTACACTTTCTCACCATGAAAGGAATTATAGAACAAATTGCTAAATCCTTCATGGCTGTTCAACAATTGCTTATTAATTGTTCTTCAATAGCAAAATGCCTGGCCTCTTAAGCGTGTAAGATTTTGTTAACAACAACTAATTATTCCACCATCTGTATGAAGGATACATGAAAATGCAACCTTAGCTATCTTATTCCAGAATATATGTGGCAGTCGGTTTGGAACACAAAAGTGTTCAAATCAATTTCAGCAAGTATTAAACAGCCCATCATCAAAATCATATGCCTGAGGTATCTAGCACCTATTAAATTTGCTCATTCTAGTACTTCAAATGGGTGCTGGAATGCATATTGTGGAGCAGGCATTTTTTTCACATGTGGTGGGACTGTCCCTTTGTTCATCCATTTGGAATACAAATACAAAATAAAATAAAGTTAACTATTACGTAATAATTTTTTGCAACTAGAACTGACAGCAGCATTACTGAACTTAAGGCAATACTTTCTTCCTGCATAAAAACCTTGCTTCATCCTTGTCACTGGGCAGTGAGACCAGAAACAAATAGGAGGAGGATTTCAACCATTTGTTGGGAAATAGACATACATGTTTGGGGCTTGGTTTTTAGAGAGGCGAGTCCAGCAGGTAGGAATGGATACTGGTAACTTTGAGGCAGTTGAGTGCACTTTTATCTGTTAAATACTGTACTATAGAATGACTCTATGTGAAAACAAGTGCCATTCTCACATGGAGCTTGGTGCTCAAAATCCCTTTGGATGGTCCAGGCTACAACACTGGGACTTCCTTCTGCTTTCCAGGTCTCCTGTTATCACAGGCACAAATTGAACCCATTTCTAAAAGTGTTTGTGCATTCTGTGACATGATAAAATGGTATTTTAAAATTAATGTTTACTTATGAACATTCTGTAACTCATGTTATTGATGGTTTTACTGAAATTAATCTGTTTTATAACATGATTAAAAAAATGAAAAACATTTTAAAAACATATTAAAGAAACACTTTCCCAGGTGCCACAGACTAACCCTTATTTTTGAAATGAATGGAACAAGTGAGAAAGCTGGGAGTCCAACCACAAACATTCATCATACCACACAAATTATGAAATCATCAGTGCTTGTTTCAGTTTTACTTTATCTATTCCTTATCACAGTTTTCTAAATCAGAAATCCTGTTGACATAAGTACTCTGACAGGCCACGTGAGAGGCGGGAAGCACATAGTCTTTGGCCAACAAGCCATTGACTTCACTTTACTATTTCTGAACAGGGGACAGGTAAACAAACAAACAAAACCCAGCCCTTTTGAGGTAAAACTTGCTCAAATCACCCAAAAGAGCTGTGGAGAGCAGTGTCACCTTTCACAAGCCATGATGAGATAAATTTGATCTTTTACACAATCTTTATTGTCACATCTTTAATCTGTAACCCAACAATGTTAAAATGCTTGAAGACAGTTTTGGTTGTGTATAGCTAAGAGTTTACACATGTAAACTATAGCTATGTATCTATGTATGTATGTACGTACGTACATATGTACGTACGTACGTACGTTTAACACATATATACATATATAGAAGCAGAAGATATCAAGAAGAGGTGGCATGAATAGACAGAGGAATTATACCAGAAAGATCTGGATGTCTTGGACAACCCAGATAGTGTGGTTGCTGAACTTGAGCCAGACATCCTGGAGAGTGAAGTCAAATGGGCCTTAGAAACCATGACTAACAACAAGGCCAGTGGAGGTGGTGGCGTCCCAGTTGAACTATTTAAAATCTTAAAAGATTACACTGTTAAGGTGCTACATTCAATATGCCAGCAAGTTTGGAAAACAACAGTGGCCAGAGGACTGGAAAAGATCAGTCTACATCCCAGTCCCAAAGAAGGGCAGTGCAAAGAATGCTCCAGCTACCGTACAAATTGCACTCATTTCACATGCTAGCAAGGTTATGCTCAAACTCCTACACGGTAGGCTTCAGCAGTATGTGGACCAAGAACTCCCAGAAGTACAAGCTGGATTCCGAAGGGGAAGAGGAACTAGAGACCAAATTGTTAATATGCGCTGGATTATGGAGAAAGCCAGAGAGTCCCAGAAAAACATCTACTTCTGCTTCATTGACTATGCAAAAGCCTTTGACTGTGTGGACCACAGCAAACTATGGCAAGTCCTTGGGGTCCTTCTGGTCCATGGGGTCACAAAAAGTCTGACATGACTTAATGACTAAACAACAACGAAATGGCATATGTTCCCAAGTAAATGTGTACTGCTAGTAGTCTGGGAGCAGTATTTCACTCATATTTTATTTTAAATGGTGAGAAATAGTTTTGCACCAATTCAAATAGTTAATTTTTTTTAATTAGCAGGATTATAAAATAGTGATCATTTCACAATTTCTAGTGAGTGTGAAATGAAGTGGGTGAGGCCTACCTGCATGATCCATCACTGCCCACTTCAAAATTGTCCCTACTAATATATATTCTTGGGTGTGAATGTAGCTTTTATTAATTTTTTTAAAGACAATAATCTACATTGTGACCTGAGATACCATTCTTGCCTCCCATCTACTCAGATTTGTAAGATTTGGAGAATAGTCAGGCGACTCACACCCACTGATGTTTTTTTCGAGAGGATAAACTTGGATTTTTTTTCTCATTAAGAAATCAATAGGTACATATTAGATGCTCAAATCACTTTAATCTTTCACATAAAATCCTTGCCAATATACAACAGTACACATGAAATACTAACATTTAATATGGAACAATCAGGATTTCTTTGGTAAGGAATACATCTTCTCCATCTTTTAAAATGCAGTAGGGAATAAAAACCATTTACCACAGTCAGTGTTTCATTTTGCCTTGGTCATCAGATGGAAAAAGCATTTTGTTGTTGTTGTTGTTTTAGTTTGTTTTGTTTCAAAGATATACCAAGGTATTGGACAATGTAATAACTTCATTCCTGACTTCATTAGAACCCTGTTGCAAACCATTTATTTCCATAAGCATGTGCATAAAAGGGGATATGTAATAAGTTGGAGATAGTTTGAAAAGCAGGGTAAAACGCAGTTTTAAAAAGCAGAGTTCTGTGGCTGCGTTATACAGTCAACTGCAGGAGCTTGTTCTTTTATATAATGACTAATACTGGTTGATGTGGTAGAGGGCGTGAATTGTGATGTTGGTTGTTTTTTTTAAAAAAACAAAAAACACACACATCAGCCTGTACTGAATAAAACATGCAAATCCCAACTTCCCTTCAATAAATATTCAACTCAGCAAAATGTGACCCTCCCTGGGACTGGAAAATCCCTATCTCCAGATACTTCCCAGAATGTTAAAATAAAATAAACATTTAAAAAACCACTGCCGGAATGTTTCTATTCCTGTTTTAACCACTTGAGGAGGCACATAACCCATTAACTCACATGATGGAGCACTTGTCTTTCAGTTTATCCTTCTTCTGCCGCTGCTTAGATTTCTTACCATCCACCTGAAGGCTTACACTTCTCCGCTTCTCCAGATTCAAGAGTTCTTGAAAAAGCTCTTGCACATTATAGTTCATTTTAGCTGATGTCTCCATGAAGGAACATTTCCACTTGCTGGCAAGGACCTCTCCTTCACTGGCATCCACCTCTCTCTGGGCATCATCGCTCTTGTTTCCTACCAGCATGATTGGGACCTTTTGGATGTCCCCTTTGATCTGGCAGATCTGCTCATAGATTGGCTGAAGCTCTTCTATTGACTGTCGGCTGGTGACAGAGTACACCAGCATGAAGGCATGGCCTTTGGAAATGGACAGTCTCTGCATGGCAGGAAACTGGTGACTTCCGGTGGTGTCTGTGATCTGGAGGGTACAGATATTCTTGTCACAGCTGATCACCTGGCGGTAAGTGTCTTCCACTGTTGGGATGTACGTTTCCCTGAAAGTTCCCCTTACAAAACGAAGAACCAGAGAACTCTTACCAACACCAGCCGCTCCAAACACCACCACTCTATAATCATTACTCTGTTCTGGCATGTTGTTTGTTCAGCTGGGGGCTAAAGAAGGGTCCTGTGCATTTATATATACCTGTGAACAACAGAACTGTAGAGGGGAAACAGCAAATTAGATATCATAAGAGGTTCCAATATCCAATTAAATTCAACAACAGCTTTCTTTCCCAAGCTTTGTATTGCACACCAGCCACAGCAAACTTTCCCCCCACATTCAAAATTGTTCTAGTTACTCAAAGATGGCAGGACTTGCAGCACAACCCATATGAAGTACAGTGGGAAAGTCTGTGGAAGAAAGTCAAGAAAACCTCTGGTTTTGCAGCTTTTAGGCAGAATTTCTACCAGCCCTGAAATGTCTAATTTGCTTGCAGATAGAAGCTCCTCCATTAAGAGAAATAAGGTTGTAATTGCCCATCAGACTGGAGCTCAACCAGCCCTCCTCATTAGTGCTCTTCTGTCCCCAAGCAACTGAGCACCCAAGCTTGTTGGCATCAGCCCAGGTCCAGAATCACCCTTCCCTATTTGCCAGTCTCAGCAATCAGTTCTTTTCATTTTCTGAGGCGAGGAGGGGGAAAGAGAAAGAGAAGGTTGCTTACTAATCCCATGGGTTCATTGCTTCCCTTCTCCTGTTTTCTGCACACGCCCACGTTGGCTCTCAAGAACCACCAGGCAGAGCACAGCATTACTCAGAATGATGGATGCAAATGAATAAATACAATCCCAGTGTGAATCTACTGGCACAGTCACAGCTGTAGGCAACAGGCAGGAAGGCAAAGGAAGCCAGTATTGCAAACATTATCTACCTTGGAACAAAAGTCAGTCTTCATCAGCAGCCCTGCCAAGGAAAGAGATAAGTACTTGTCTCCAGCAGAGTTGTGACCACCCCATACAATTCAGGCTCTGAAATTGTGGAATTATGGCTATTATTTTAACCACCCACTATCCCTATTCCATGTAGGAATTCTATTGCATGTTCAAGAAACATATTAAAAATATGCATAGCAAGTGCCTCTGCTTTGTTGCAGTTTAAGTGCTTCAGAGGATGTCCCTAGTCACATAAAAGAGGGTGGGACTTGTCATCTCACAACATCTGGATATTCCCCACCCATAGTCTAGATAGTATAGCAGGCTATACTAAGTGCATCCCTCCAGATGTTGTTGGACTAATCAATATGATAAGTGGTAAAATATTGGTATTTGTACTGCACACTTTCCTCACACCTTCACTCTACCTGCTGTATCATAAGGGACATTGTCTTGACATAGCATTTTGGAGTCTCTTCCTTTCAGCCAATACTCAAGCACCTTACAAACCAGCCTTACCTAAAAACTTTATACAAGCCTATTAGGGACTGAACAACACTGAATTCTGTAGAATTTGCTTCTAAGAAACCATAGCATCAGGCTGCCTTAAGATGATCAGAACATTTTCTGAGGAAAATATTTTATATGATTGACCTGTTACAGTATATAGGTACTGGAGCAGGAGGGGAAATCTCTACTTTCTTGGAAGTGAGATACATAGGTATGTAGAAGTCTTCCATCTATTCTAGCTACTACCAGTCAAAATGAAGAAGTCAGAAATATTCTGGCTTTCATGGAAATGAGCAAATTTGTGGATCCTCTCCATTTCACTACTTTCAGAATGGTTTTAGAATATCGTTCGATGAATTTAGTTGTTAGATATGCTATTGGTTTATAACTTCACATCTCAAATTTGTTGTACTAAGAAACACATCATGTTGGTTGTTGTGGGTTTTTCGGGCTCTTTGGCCATGTTCTGAAAGTTGTTCTTCCTAACGTTTCACCAGTCTCTGTGGCCAACATCTTTAGAGAACAGTACTCTGTGCTCTGGTGAAGTTGGCTTGTTTGTCTTTTTTCTGTAGATGAGTGATTAGTGTGTCTTGTTGTGGGTGTATTGTTGTGATAAGAAGGAGAGATTATCTGTCACTGTGGTTGATGGGTGTCATTAGCTGGTCTTTTGTGTGTAGTGATACTTGGTCCTTGTGGCTGGGTAGAGTTCGTTGACCTTTTGCACACTGTATTTTTGAGAGCTGGGAGCCAAGTTTTGTTGAGTTTCAAACTTTCCTCTTTTTTGTTGACATTCTGCTGGTGCTTGTGGATTTCAATGGCTTCCCTGTGCAGTCTCACGTAATGATTGCTGGTGTTGTCCAGTATTTCGGTATTTTGAAATAGAATTTCATGTCCAGTTTGTTTTAGGGCATGTTCAGCTACTGCAGCTTTTTCTGGTTGTTTTAGTCTGCAGTGTTTCTCATGTTCTTTGATTCTGGTGTGGATGCTTCGTTTTGTGGTTCCAATATATACCTGGCCACAACTGCAAGGTATCCAGTATACTCCTGCAGTGGTGAAGGGGTCCCTTCTGTCCTTTGCTGACCATAACATTTGTTGTATTTTTGTGGTGGGCTTGAATATTGTTTATAGTGTGTGTTTTTTCAAAAGTTTCCCCATGCAGACCACGACCCCTTTGATGTATGGCAGAAATACTATATTTGTGGGTGGCTGTTTTTCTTCTTCAGTTCGGTGGTGTTTTCTTGGTTTTATGGCTCTTGTGATTTCATTTTTGGAGTAGCCATTTGCCCGTAGGGCCCAATTCAGATGGTTGAGTTCAGTGCTGAGAAACTGAGCTCCACAGTTCCGATTTGCATGGTCTACCAGTGTTTTGGCTATGCCTCTTTTTTGCTGTGGGTGGTGGTTGGAGTTTTTGTGTAGGTAC